GGTCCTGTCGCTCGCGAATGGATCGGAGACCGTCAGTGAAGCCGTCGAAATGTGAGCCCATCTGAGTCCAGTGGGTCTGCTGCTGGGTCTCCCAATGGTCCCACTGAAATTAATTTCTGGGACTAGAAATAGACTTCTTGTCCATAAATTGGATTTCTGGCCCAGAAATCGATTTCTGGAGTAGAAATCGATTCCTTGTCCAGAAAATTGATTTCTAGTCTCATAAATCGATTTCCGGCCCAAAAATCACATTTATGGGACTAAAAACGAGATAATCTAGAAAACGATTTCTGGGTACCAAAAATCACATTTCCGACCCAGAAATCACATTTCTGACACATAAATCGATTTGTTCACATTTCTGACACAGAAATTACATTTATGTTTAGTTTCTGGGTCAGAAATGTGATTTCTGGGCCAGAAATCGATTTCGTGACAAGAAATCGATTTGTTCACATTTTCGTCCAAGAAATCGATTTCTAGGTCAGAAATGTGATTTATGGGGTAGAAATGTGATTTATGGGCCAGAAATCACAACAAGATAATCTAGAAAACGATTTCTGGGTCCCAGAAATCACATTTCTGACCCAGAAATTGATTTCTGGACCGGAAAATGTGATTTCTGGGCTAGAAACTAATTTCTAGACTAGGAACGAGATGATTCAGAAATCGATTTCTGGGACAAGAAACGAGACGATTCAGAAATCAATTTCTGGGTCGAAAATGTGATTTCTGGGTCAGAAATCGATTTCTGACCGGAAATCGATTTGACCCAGAAATTACATTTCCGACCCAGAAATCGATTTCTGGGACAAGAAACAAGACTATCCAGAAATCGATTTCTGGGCCCAGATTCGATTTCTGGACCCATAAATCATTCAATGTTCCAAGAAATCTATTCTACAATTTTTTTTATGCCATATACATGTGTAAAACACAAATTTTGGCCACATTTAAAAAAAAACCTCTTTTTTAGCCATTTTGGCACATAAAATGACAAAAATACCCTTACTATCATTTTTTTAAAAAAAAAATCATCTCTCTCTTCTCTCTTTCTCTTCTCTCTTCATTCACTTCTCTCTTCATTCATCAATTTAACTCATCTCAACCAACCAAAAAAAAATCATTCTCTTGACAAAAAAAAAAAAATCATTCTCTCTATATTCATTCCGACAATATTCCGGTTATATCTCGGAAATATTAGTGTAAATGTATGGTTATAAATTATCTTTTTTTTTTCAATGGTCAAATATATATTATTCAAATTAATAAAATGAATATTGCAAAAAAAAAATTGCAGAAATAGATTTCTTGGAACATTGAATGATTTCTGGGCCAGAAATTGATTTCTAGACCATCTCGTTTCTGGACCCAGAAATTGATTTCTGACCAGAAATCGAGTTCTTGGAAATTTGAATGATTTCTGGGCCCAGAAATTGATTTCTGGACCATCTTGTTTCTGGACCCATAAATCAATTTTTGGGCCCAGAAATCGATTTCTTGGAAATTTGAATGATTTTTGGGCCCAGAAATTGATTTATGGACCCAGAAATCGATTTCTGGGCCCAGAAATCAATTTTTGGATCATCTTGTTTTTGGACCAGAGATCGATTTGTCGCCCAGAAATGTGATTTCTGGACCAGAAATCGATTTATGGACCCAGAAATCGATTTCCGAGGCCAGAAATATGATTTCTTGTCCATGATTTCTGGTCACAGAAATCATTTCTGGTGCAGAAATCATTTCTTGTCAAAGAAATCGATTTCTGGGCCAGAAATGTGATTTCTTGTCGAGAAATCGATTTCTGGGCCCAGAAAGCGATTTCTGGGCCCAGAAACGAGATAAATGCATACTGCAAAAAAAAAAAAATGCAGAAATAAATTTCTTGGATCATTGAATAATTTCTGTGTGTTTTAAGTGGGGTGATAGTGAGGACTTCTATGTAAGAACCCCGTATTTGTTTTGCTACTGAAGGTGATTTCAGTTGATGTGCTATGGTGATGTCTGAAGACGATGGTAGATGTTTTGTCCTTGAAAATTTTGAAGTCCGATTGGTTTGTTATGTATCTTTTTTCCTCTTTCTATCTTTTAAGATATGTAAACTTGGGTGGTTTGTTATTTGTGAATGCCTATTTCAGATGCAGTGCCAATATATGAGAAACTTCTGGATACATTTCCCACCTCGGTAATCCTCTTTATGGAATTGCAGATTTAACGTTATTTAGGTGTTGTTGTATGTAAAGGATTGATAATCATTTATTTGAGGGCAGGCATAACCATATTTATGGATTGATCAATTTGCTTGGAATGTAATTTTGATGTTCCATTTTCAGTAAAAAAAAAAATAAAAATTATAATAATCGCGACTCGTAGAGAAACTTGCGTGTCGCGGTGAAGAACAAAATTGTAACGGCTATACAAGCTTCCCAGGGTCGCGACTCGCGGGATTTTTCCGCGAGTAGCGGAGAAAAACAGAGGTACAATTTGCAATAGACCAAAGTACCAAATAATACCAAATAGACCACAATTGTCAAAGTACTAAATACACTACAATTAGCAATAGCATTACACAACAAAGGCCCCAAAAAATGACACTAATTTGACAAGGGAATACTATGAGCATAAATTGCTAATGCCATTTTCTTTTTATATAAACTTATGTCCGGCTCCCGAGGAATGTCATCGCCAAGCATGCGTTCAACGTACATGCAAGCAAATACACCACAATTATGGGTATCCTCTTGAACAAACTGAAGTTCACTCGGCATTCTCTTAATCGATAAAGCATCTAACTTGGGAGGAATATTCAAAGCACCAAAGTAACCGGACCGGTGAAGGAATGTGGGAAGCAATCGTCGGAGAGGGGTCAACATAAGCTCTCGGTCATTACACGCCTTCGACGATGAAAGGTGGCTAAAGGAGTCGTAAAGCTCGATCTCCCAGTCCAGTAACCGTACCCGGCACACCACCCAATGCTCGAGAACATTACATACCAAAATGACCTGTCATCCGAAGTTACAAACCAACAATGTTATAAATGTTACAAGTACATTCCATACCATCCAGCATAATTTACCGATAATTAACACAACATTAATTAGCCAATTTTTTTGTTAAAGCAACATGGTTTTATTAAGAACAAAAGAAAAACTTACATTGGGATTTGTATGCCAAGGAGATATCCCACGAAGAGTAGTACCACGAACATAATTGACCAGACCCGGAGGAACATTCCATCTCTCATAATTTGCATCGTCTGGATAGCTTTGCGTACATTGAGGATCGTCGGGATGAAGCACTTTCCATTGATTTCGACAACAAGCCCTGAAAATAAGTAGTAAGCATCAACATGAATCATTCAACAAAATATAAATTATTTAAGAAAAATATAATTAGTTGAAAGAGCAATTACAAATAGAGCGGAATCCTGAATGTTAATTGTTGAAAGAGATACTCCCGACTTCAATTTGACCCCACTGTACAACCTCCGAGAAAGCACGTCCAAAAATGGATCGATATGCTACAAAAATTATAATTATATTAATTTTTTGAACTACTACATTCGTGTACTGAGATTGAATTCTAAAGAACAATTACTTACCTCGGTAGAAAGCATATTCCTGACACCCTCAATTTTTTCAAAGTAATCTGGCCCTTGATACCAAGTAGGTTTTACCCCCAACGTTTAACCTAACAACAAAATAAATAAAAGAGAAATATGGGTTCATGTTAAGAAAATCTCACTTAAAAATTCACATATGTGCTATAAATTTTAAAAATATAACAATTATCATGCTACTTACATTGGAGATTTCTTCTTCTTCCATTTTTCGTATTTCGCCTGTAATTGCTTCTCAGTTTTCTTCTCCCGGTAGTCAATGAATGGTGAGGTAAACTTGCTATTTTTGAACTTAACGCGTAATGTTCGACCAACCCCAACACCATCACCATCCGTGAATCCACCTCCTTTTGTCGGCTTCGGAGTCATAGCAGCTACATCCTGTGAGGGGCCAACTTTTGCAAATATCTGATGTTTTTTTTCTCATCTTATTCAACTGCATCATCAATTTGAACACCTCATAATCAAATCCCAAGAACAAAATATCTAAGACCTGTTAAAGCACATCACATACGGATAAAAAAGAGGTAATATTAGCATAAAATTGTCACTTTAAGAGGTGAATGCTAATTCATGAAGAGACAACCTACAAATAAAATAAAAAATGAAGAACAATCATGTGGGGCCATTGTACAGGTATACCACCGATGGGGACAACAATCCTGTGGGGCCATTGTAGCATATCCGTCACAATGGTATTAACAATGCCCTCAATGAAATGAATAATTAGTCAGTCTATATACTTGAATATTCATTGAACCAAGGAAAAATATCAGAACTCATATCAATCATATCTGAAAGCCCAGGAATAGCTGTTAAACTTCCACCAACAGCCTTCAGAGTATAATCGATGCGCGGCTTCGGCTGAGTGACATCAAAAGGCAGAAATGATTTCCAATCAGAGAGAAAAAGAAAAAAACACGAAGGAGAACATATTATTTATAATAACAGAAAAATGTTATTGTGCTGTAAGAAACAACAGCATCAGCCAGTCATTTCTCTGTGACTAGGAGAAGAAACAGTAGTAAGGACTGCCTTTCAACCTAGCGATCTTTTAATCGATTGATTATTGCATAGCCATCTCTCAATAAATTCCATATGCATCGGCATTAGGTTTATTTATATCAAATCAATAGATATATGCAACATGATGTACCTCAGCAAGCAGGGCAACCACTACTGGAGAGATGCAAGGAATTTCATCCGCAAGTTGGAAAATAGCACGAACCACAGTGAAAACTTTAAGATCCTTCAACTGCAAGGAAAATGGAATGACACATGTTCCATCTGAATACAAGAGTACACAGTAGTAGAACAAATAATAACAAGAAGCCACCAGGACATAAAAGGATTATTTACTGCAAGTGCTGGCACCCACCACACACACACACACATACACACACATACTTATAGACATTCTCAGAACAATTTTAAAATGCTACGAATATTTTCTAGTTTACCAACCTGAATAGGTATAAAAGCAACACGTGCAGCCTCGACAGCTAGGATAATACTCAGATCACCACCCCAGCGGAGGTCAATATCCATTGTGATTTGACCTTCTTTAAGACTCTGAACCCGAATCCCTTCACGAATTCCAAATTAAACACGTTGTGAGGTAGAAACCAATGCACAAGATAAAAAGTAAAGCGGGAGATCTACAAATGGTAATAAATTAAGCAAATATAAGGAAAATAATCAGTACATGCTACATTGTTATATCTCATACACATTCTTGAATTTCATTAACATATAACCTACTTTTCTAGTGAAACTTATCAATGCTTAATAAACAGGCATGAAGAAAAAAGCTAATGCAAGCATATACAAAGAAGTTGGCTGCGTATTTCCCAGTATACCATACAACATATTTATAATGGTACATGGAAATTGATTGAAGCTTATTAACATGTCTAAGACTCAAAGTTCAAATTATGACTAATCTAACAACATATTTTGCACAGATTGCTTGCATCACCATAGTAGTTAAGTTGCCATGATACACGGCCACACAGAATGACAATGCAGATAACTTAAACAAAGGACATTTAGGACAGCTCCATAAGTTACATGGCTAGATGGTGAGTTACAGTAATGAGAAGAAAAATCTACTGTCTCAAATCTAATTCACCATATGACGAGCACAATCCGTACAATTAGGCAAAAATAACAAAAAGAAAAATGATTGGTAATCCCACTAATAAATAAAATGGTCAAAAACTCATGATAGAACCACCCATGCAAATATTCCAAATGATCAGGTGTCACAGCGAAAAAAATTCATGTAGCTTGATTCACATGGATGAAAGTAGCAAACTGACTGAAAAGTGCACTTTTAAGAATTGAATTAATATTACTAATTTGTCAACAATGTGTCAACCTTCAATATTAGGAGCCACTGTTCCAAGAGACAATTTGCTGAATTTTAAAGAAGAAATTCCTGTAGGACGATACTCTTCCAATAACGGTTCAACAGATTCTTTTATAACAGCCTGCTGCCTGAAAGGAAACGGTTCCAGCAATTTAGCAGTAACCTTATGAAAATGATACCTAATATCAGATTCTGTGCCAATGTGTAAAGCAAAATCTTCAGCTATCAACTTATTTCTTTCAGTTTGAGATAAAAATATACATCTACATCTATATAAAAAAAAAAAAGAAAAAAAAAATGAATTCTAGAAATAGATTATAGAGGGCTATTATTGTCCTGCCCATTTGTATTTACTAAATATAGAGTTTTTGGAATTATTTTAGATTATAGAGGGCTATTATTGTCCTGCCCATTTGTATGAAGATACAACCTACAAATAAAAAAAAAAAATGAAGGATAAGTACCAGTGAACCTCATCACCCCATTCAAATGAGATTGGAGTTGAAATCAAGAAAATAAAATAAAAAAATCAGTGAAGAAAACCATAATCAGTTCAACCCTAATCAAAAACCTAATTCGATACCTCCCCATTTCAACAAAAAACATCATTCTATTACTGAAGAAAAAAGAAGATGAAAACCCTAATCAAGCCCTAAACAACTAAACAACCGCACCTTGAGAAGAAATGAGAGGGTGAGAAAGCCGGCGGAGCAGTCAGGTGCGTCGGAGCAGTGTAGGTGCGGCGGAGCGGAGCGGCGGAGCAGTGCAGGTGTGTCGGGTGCGGGGAGGAGCAACGAGAGTGCACGCGGCGGGTGAAGATAGGAGCAGCGCGGGTGCGTGAGTTGTGGGAGATGAGAGGAGCAACGGTCGCCGGAGAGGAGAGAAAAATTGCACCGGAGAGAGCGTGAGAATCACCACCGGAGAGAGCGTGAAAAATTGCGCCGGAGAGGAGAGAATGATAAAGTTCGGGGGAATGATAAAATGAAAATTGGATTTTGGGGGTAAAATGAAAATCTGAGATGAAAAGAAAAAAGTTGAATTGAAAAGTTGAAGTTAGGGGTAATTGAGTAAAAACACATGCCAAAATGCTAAAAAGATGTTTTTTTACAAAAGGTGGCCAAAATTTGTATTTTGTAAACTTTTATGGCCATTTAATGGTAATAACACACAAAAAAATTATAGTAAGGGTATTTAAGTATTTTCATGTGCCAAAATGGCTAAAAAATATTTTTTTTTTTTTTTTT